AATCATTTGGTTAGCCTAGTTCTCTTGCCTACAGCCCAGCTACAGAATAACTCCAGTTTGGCCTCCGGTCACAACTGAGACTTCAGTGATCCAGTAATGCTGTGATTCTCCAGCACAAGAAACATCCTGGGAGAACAAACATTAAACATATTGTATACCTAAAATGTACCAATAAAAGAATTAAAAATAAATAAATAAATACATTAGGAGGGGTAGAAGGGTTGAAGGGAGGGCAGAGGAATGGGAAACAAAATAAGAACTAAGATAGATATAAAGGTACAAATTTCCAATGATGAATGTCATTATATTGTATACCCAAAATGTGCCAATAAAGTTAATTAACCCCCCCAAAAAACAGAGATGTAGCCAGGAACATGAAAAAGATCAGGGTTCCCAGCTTCCACCTTCACCTGATAAAATACAAAGAAAACAAGGGGAAGACACCTCAGGTCTCTTATTTAATATGTAAAAGACACATACACCTATACATATACACTTATATGTATATTCTCACTTTAGTATCACTATACCACAGCACCAGATACACACATGTCCTCTTTACATAATTTCTAACTCTAAGCTGCCTTTCTATGGGGATTTCCCTCTCTACACTTATCCATCACAAAAGGACAGGAAAGAGTCAAATGGCCAAAAGAATGTAGACAGAAGTGCCCAAGCTGGAGTCAAAGACAACCAGGGAGCCAACCAGATTGTTGCAAATTCCAGGTGCCCAACATGGGGCAGGGACATCAGTCTTAATAAAAAAGAGCTGAGGGCAAAAATCCACAGGTATTCACTTTCTGATGCCTCATATTCTTTCAGAGTAGCTATCTATCTTCTCTTTTCTTTACCACCCTTTCCCAAATAAATAGTCTTCCTTTATTTTTAAATTCTGACTCTTTAATTCCTTACTGGTGGTGAGAGTTTCCTTTTTTATTTAATTTCACTGGTACATTTTAGGTCTACAATATAATGACATTCTTCATTGGAAATTTGTGCCTTTATGTAATCTCTCTTGGTTCTTATTTTTTTCCCCCTTCCCCTGCCCTCCCTTCAAAACCCCCACCCCTCTCTATTTACAAAGACTTTGTTTCCATTTTTTCATTTTCTCATAGGAATTAGTTTATGACCCTGATAGCTGAAGGTTCCAAAACAGCAGTGGCCTGGTGTGGTGTACACCCCTAGATGTGACACTATTTACTGTCAATCTCACAGTGAGATAGGAAGAAAGTAAGGAGCAGGTTGAAAGAAAGCAAGGAAATTGAAATTTTAAAATTGTACTTATAAGAAAAACTGCAGGTTTAAGACATAAAAATACTCAAGGGTTTTTTCCAAGCATGATAAGCCTGTAAACTGGGCCCTTGACCTGTCCTTTTCACCTGTAAACTGTGCACCCTTCATTCTCAGGAAGCAGCAAGATTGGCGGGTAGCATACTTCAACTTCAAACATGTAAATGGCTTCCATTGTAATCTGGCAGATAGTGAGAATGCATTTCCTAGATCACCTATCTTGAAGAGACCCCCTAAAATGTACCCAACTCTGGCTTATAATGTGTCTCATTTCTCTGAACATCCACACTCTGCTTTTATATCCTATATCTCTGTGTAATAAACCCTTCTTTTGCCTCTTACTGATGTGTCCAGAAATTTTTTTCTGTGATGGGAGTCAGCAAACCTGAAAACTTATTTTATTAAAAAGGCTGGGTTAAGTTCCTTATGTCCAACTTCAGGGACCTTTAGACCCAGCCCAGTGAAATCTATCTTGAGACAATGAAGGGATCTTAAAAGAGGGGTGGAGACTGTAGACCTTGATTCTGGTAAGCTCAGCAGAAAGGCTTTTCATTTCTTTTTTCTTCTTTCTCTCTCTGTCTCAAATCTTTCAACTTTTCCCCCCCTAATATTAGCAGAGACAGGCAGGGAACTAGAGAGTGGAGGAGACTAGTGCTAGTGAGGGAGGGGAAGTGCCATGGCCTTTGTTTTTCTTGATATGTGACCTGTAGTTATTAAGTGGCATTTTGGATTTTTAAATTGTCTGTGAGTTTGTTTTTTTTTGGTGTTTGTTATAGGTCCCTAGATATAGAGTTCTTTGCAGTAAATTTTTGAGTAAAATCCAGCTGTTGTGTATAATTCCTTTTCCTGCTTTTTGATCTGTTGATAAAGGTTAGAGCAGATGGATTTCTCTGTGACTATCAAGGATGCCTACATTAGATAGTGACACAAAACTTGGCAAAGCCCCCAGTTGTGGAGAGTTCTGGTGGGAGAGAAACAGCAAAGCTGCCACACCGGGCAGTTCTGGTTCTAGAAGACAGGACAGGCTGTATATACAGTGTGACCCTAGCATTCCCTTGCACAGATGACTTAGCCCAGTTTGGGTGCCCCAGTTTGGGTGCTCCCACTGCTGTGCAGGCAAACCCCAGGAAGAAGTGGGTAGCTCTGGCTGCCTGAGTATGGGCTAGAATCCTATCTTTTTCTCTTTTCTTTCTCTATCTGTTTCCAGAAGTACACAAGAGAGACATTTAAAGGTATAGTAGATTTTATATGACTATAACTATGTCAGTCCCAAATATTTTTATATTTTTTATATTTTATAAACTTGGGATCAATTTAAGATAAAAGCTTTTTGTCATGCCTGGCCTAAACAAACAGGATAAGCAAACAGGCTGCTTTCAGCAAACAATAGCAGCTTCTCAGTAAATAGACTCAAAACGAAGTATACAACTTTCCTGGCCCTGAGAAGTCCAGTGATTATCTACACACCTGTGCAGACAGACCTTGGATTCAATCACAAACATTTCACTCCTTAGCCCCTTCAATATCTATATATGCCTAATTCCTTTGCCAGTTATCTACTAATATCTCTCTCCTAGTGTTAGCCCATCCACATGTGGATGTAATAAACTTGGCTTTTTCCAGCTACTGGCTAGTCCCTGATTTTAGCCCCTGTTCACAGGAAAAAACTTTTCTTTCAAAAGCCCATTTTAAACCAGTGGATTCATGTGCCATCTATAACACTTTTGAAAGTTGATTTTTCTTTAAAGGTAAATTAGGAGAAAAAGACAAAGCTCTATGTTGGGAGCAATGCTACATAATTCTAGGGAAAAATCATTTGGTTAGCCTAGTTCTCTTGCCTACAGCCCAGCTACAGAATAACTCCAGTTTGGCCTCCGGTCACAACTGAGACTTCAGTGATCCAGTAATGCTGTGATTCTCCAGCACAAGAAACATCCTGGGAGAACAAACATCTGCTCAGTTCCTCATTGTTCTTGGACTGATTAACATCTTGTTTGCCGGAGATGTACTGAACTCTCTGCAAGCCTTCCGTTACACCTTGTTTATCCCAAAGTGAACTATTGAACTCTCTGCAAGTCATTTGTTACATTTGTTTCTCCCGATGTACTGAATAAAAGGTGTGGTAAGCTGGGGGCTTTGTCTTTGCCGCCCAGAGCAGCACTGATCAGACCCAAAGCTCAGCTTCTTCTCGGTCTCATTTTTCTACCTTTCCTGTAATTCGCCGTGTGCTGCCGTGGCTCGCAGGAGACCAGGACTCACTGCAGGGGTTCTGGTAACGTCCCCTTCCCCTGTCCCCTACAGCTCTTATCCTTTTTCCCTTCTGACTATTACTGGCTAAAAGTCTATAGTGTTAACAAAAAAGGTACTCAGGGTAGCTTAAAGTATTAAAAGAAATACTATTGTGACTTACATAAAAAGAAGAGCTAATTAATAATCACTAAAACATTCTGACTAGTCTATTTATAGTTATAAACCTACAACTTAAAAAATATTATTATAACTGAACATGGCCAATGCATCAACGAGTGCACTTTAGTCTAATACAGTTGTTTTTTATGTGTTCTATATGTTATCTTTTCTGTCTGCCTGTTAATCTGTTTTAATAATTGGTTAAACATACCCACCTTGTGATTTTGCCCTACAAAACCTCCTTTAAGAAGTGGGCTCATTGGTAACCCACTTTCAGGTCACTTTCTGTCTCTCAGGAGCTATCTATCTCAATAAATTTTTCCTACTCATAACCTCTGTTGTTCCTCAGAATTCATTCTTTGATTTTGGGGAACAAGAACATGGTGTATCTTACAGCTAGCAGGTTGAGAATTTTATATTACTCCCCCTATGTCAATCTGACCTCAGACAGCCAGCGCTGGCCATAGCTCGCCCTCCTCCCCTTTTTCCCTTTGTGTCATCATGTGACACAGTAGACATCTCTTCATGCCCTCTTTCTCTCCTTCATCCAGAAGGGATGAACTATTCTCTTCTGGCTGTGTGCCCATGTGGGAAAAGGCCTGGTCTCTGAAGAATGGCTGGGAAGAGCCACCTTCCTGTTCTGATGCTGTCTAGTCTTGCTGTGTGGTATCAGGTCCCCCACTTCCCCTTTTTGGGCCTTACATCCCAATCTCTACACCTTAAAGCACAGTTCTTCATGCCCAGTGAGGCCTTTGGGGATGGTGACTGCCCCAAGGTTGCCTGCTGCTCACAGCCCCAGCCATACCTTCTGCAGCCTCTGTGGGCTGTACTTCAGTACATTCTTCAGCTGTTCCATTTGTTGGTCAGATAACAGCCCTGCACAAATGATGGGTAGCTGGTTCTGGGTGTTGTTGGATGCCTTCAAAGCTGTGGATTTTGGTGGGGAGTGTGGGAGCTCAGGCAGCAAGATGGTGTAGCCGCACTGGTCATGCTGGATTCCATATACCTGCCTACGCCTGTTTGCCTGCTGTCCCTTCACTTGGGTGGTAGTCGTGGTGGCCACCAGGAGGAGGAGGCTGCCCAGCAGCATAGTGGGCCAGAAGAGCATCCAGAGATACGTGTTGAGTAGAGGAGTCTGATCAGAGCCCTGACAGGCTCTCTCCACTGCTGCCTGCTCTGTACCTGGGACACACCAGTGTGGCCTGTGGCTCCTGCAGAACAGGTCTTCAGAGCTACTATAACCACAAATCCTTGTGTGGCCAGCTCAGTCTGTGGCTATTTATGCTGTAAGTACCACAGCTGCAGGACTTCCTGGCCTCTGCTTCCACCCCCAGGCTGCCCTTCACCTCAGGGCTCTGTTCCCCTCCTTTCTCTTCCTTCTGTCCCCAAGCAGTCACAATGGCCTCTTTGCCTGTCTTTCCTTCAAGACCTGTGACTGTCCAGTGGGGTCCTATCCTCTCCCAGCTCTGGTGCAAAGAAAACATGAGGGACAGGAACACACCACACTTTTGCAAGCCCCACAGCTTTGACCCCAGTGCTTCTGTGCTCTCTTCCTGGCTCTATCTCTCTATACTGCCTCCTTTAGTAGGATAAAAGAAATAAAAACCACTTAGAAAAGACATTAAGAAATTGAGATTTTTAAAATTATTTGTAACTGCAGCTTCAAGGCACAAAAGTTATTCAAATCCTTTTCCTTTCCAGGAAACTCACTAAAAAAATGCCTAAGGGTCTTAATGACAATAGTCCTGAAAATCTGGGTTCTGGGCCTGTCCTTTTAACCCATAAATTGTGTTTCTTCCACCCTCAAGGAAGCAGTAATATTGATGGGCAGCATATTTCAACCTCAACCACATGTAGGTGGCTTGCCTTGTAATCTGACAGACAGCAGAAATACATACCCTAGATCAGCCATCCAAAAGAGATCACCTAATTATACCCAACTTTGGTGCATAATGCCTCACCTTTCTCTGAACACCTGCTCTCATCGGGTTTTGAGTGAGTTAAAAAATCTCTAATAAATTCTTCCTGTGTCTCTTACTGATGTGTCCTGAAAATTCTTTTTCTGAGACAGGACCATTAAACCTGAACACTTATTCTACAAGGGTAGGATAGGTTTGTTATTTCAGCTCAGTGACACTCCCAGCCCTTGCCCTCCAGGCTGCATTCTCAGTGTCAGCCACAACTAGCCCTTCTCAGCCTCTCCAGCTTTTTTCCTAGATTCCCTGTTAGCTTCAAACTTGGCTAAGTGCAAATGACAATGCAGAGCACATAGGGAGGGGGCAGAATGGTTGGCCAGGTAAGCCAGGGGAGAAGCAGCCAAGCATGAGTTTCTGGAGACTCAAAGAAGTGGGTGCATCTGTGGGGACCTGGGTCCTGTCCCTAGTTCTCACTAAGAAAGTAGGGGAGCCTTGTGCCCGGAAATGGCACTGGCCAAGTTGCTATGACAGTGATGAGACGTTGTCAAGTCCTGGAATATGTTGTCCCAGGGCTAGAGCGAGGTGATGGGTCATGGGGAGAAGAGCTTGGGGTGCAACAGGATCTTGGCCAGGTTATGACCCCCACAGTCAGAGGCACTGGCCCTAAATCTTTCTCCTCACTGGGGCCAGGATACCTCACTGGGCAGCTTCACCTCTCTGGACCTCCACCCCTAATCTGTGAACCCAGGTAGCCCCTTCTCTTGCTTGAGAGCTGCATGTGAGTCCTCAGCAGGGGGACTGAGGGATTTCAAGTTTGTTCTTCAACATCTGGCTCCTACCAGCTGTGCAAATTTGGGCAAGTCATGTACCCTCTCTATGCCTTAGTTTATTCTTGAATGAGAAAAATAATCTCTCCCACCTTGTAGGGCAGGAGAGTTGAGATAGGGCAGTGTTGGTATCAGGTGAACAGGGTGAGTATGTTCTGTTCTATGATTGTGACTCCCTCAGCCCACAGAATGGAAACCCCATGAGGGCAGGGGTTTCTCTTTGGGACTGTGGTGGCTGCACAGGAAGCGTCCAGGGGCTGGATTGTGGCCTTTGGGCTCTGTTCCTTGTAGGCTTCACATCATCCCCTGATGGTTTTCCCAGGGAGGGGCCTAGTACTGCTCAGTATTATCTCTTTCCTGTTGCTTTCCCCAATCCTGATGAAGTTTTGAACAGGGAAGGCTGCTTGGGGGCAGTGAGGAGCCAGGAGTTCACAAGGGGACAGAGGACACTGTGCCAGGTGCAGGGGTCTGGCCGGAAGAGGAGCTGCCGATGGCTCCAGACACCATGTTAACCAGGTCACATAGAGCTCTCAGCCCTGCTCAGTTCCCCCTCTGCAGATGGGACCTTGTTTTACAAAAGAGGAAACTGAACCTCACCCAGAGCAGTTGAGCGATTTGACCAAAGTTGCAGAGCTTGGAGGGCTTGACCAGGAACAGAGGAGAGAGGGAGGCTCAGCCACTCTGGGTGCCCTGCTGCCTCCCACTACCTCTCCTGGTGATATAGGGGAAATAAATATAACTCTCAACCTGCTAGATGTGAGATACACCAAGTTCATGCTCCCCAAATTTGAAGAATGAATCTAAGGAACAATGGAGGTTAAGATGAGGAAATATTTATTGAGAGGGGTAGCTCCTGAGAGACAGGAGGGGACCCAAATGTGGGGTGCCGTGGACCCCACTTCACAGAGGAAGTTTTAGAGAGTAAAATCATGAGGTGGGTACAAAATCACAAGGTGTATAAAACAAGGGACAAAACTGATTAACCAATAAGATTACAAATATAGCTGCTTAGGTAATATTGATCCATTGGGGAAGCAGGTCACATAGCAAGTGTACATGGAAAGAACAAAGACCTTTTCAGGAAGAGATGAATCAGGAGGTCCTTCTTACCCAACTGAGTGGCTGATGTCTATCTAGACTTTAATGGACCAAGTAATACCAATTATAATATATTGCTTATCCCTTGGGGAGGCATGTAACCTTGGTCATTCTGACTTTATCTTGAGGCCTGGCCTTCAAGAGATGTGCCTTCCTGCACAGCTGTGATGTGTTTTCATCCTCTGTACTGACTCCCTCGAGGCCTAGCCCTGTCTGACTGCCTATAATATTTCCACCTAATCCAGCTGTCTATAGTACTGGCAATGAGCAAGGGCCCAGGCCTCTCAGCCTCATCTCTCCATCTGTGCAATAGAGATAGAGTTCACACCTTGGATGGGCATAGGAGTCTTGCTGTGGCACCAAGATGACTGTGGGAAACTCCCCATGGAGATGCATTTGAACTCGCTGATAGATGAATGAAATGTGACTTCCTTCCATGCACAGCTTTTGTGAAATTGATGTGGGGCCCAGAATTGTACAAACTGCTTTCTACTCAGAACAGGCCATGGAGTTTCTTCTGCAGGAGGGCACAGGCAGGACCAAAAGAAGAGTTCTGTGCTTAGTGGGTGCACTGGGTTGGAAAGCCTCCAGGTCATACTTGCACCTTCAATTCAGCACCACCCTGACCTCTGGGCCTTTGCATGTGCTCCTCTCAGTTCAGATCACCACAGCTAGTGTCATCCCAGAGGCTTCCTCTCTCACCTGTCACATCTGGGTATCCTGGTTTATTCATGTGATGTCTCCAACATGGTGGCTTCAGTCAGCCAGGCTTCTCACAGGGCCATTCAGGGCCACAAAAGAACACATGGCTATGGTATCAGATAGAGGCCTCATATCTTTCATGACTGAGCTTTGAAAGTTATTCCAGGCATTCCCACATTACTTGGATTAATGCTCTGTCTCCTTCTTAAATTCTTTTTTCTTATTCTTGTTTTGTTTTGTTTTTTTCTAGAAACAGGGTCCTGAACTCATTAAGTTGCCCAAATTGACCTCAAATTCTTGGGATCATATTGCTTCATCCTCCTGAGTGCTGTGATTACAGATGTGCACCAGTATGCCTGGCTGCCATCTTAAATTCTTAATAAATTATGAGCAAAGGGATCTATGCTGGTTATGATTAGGTAGTCATGTAACCTGCATTAAAAAATGAAATTTTAAAACTTAGACTTTTTCTTTGGAGATAAAAAAATGACTCCAAATTTCTTCTAGTTGAGAATATAACCAACACCTCTCTTCTCTTTAGCCCCAAAGAAGTGACAGAATATGCAGATGCTGCCAGCCTCAGGAGGCTGGAGCCAGTTCCCTTTCCACTAGAAAGGGGAGAATGAGCCAAAAATGGCTAGAAGTGATAAAGCAAGTGTGGGATCTGCATTGTCTCTCTGTGCTCCCCCTCCCCTCTGTTCCTTGATATCAAAGACAATTGCCCACCTGTACATGGTGAGATGGTGATTTGAGATAAATGAGACCCTCCATCTCTTTGAAGGTAGCTTTGAATAAATCTTTTTTTTTTCCTTTTTACCAATAAAAATGGCCTCTTTTGATTTAGTCAGTGGAGAGCAAATAAGCCCAAGTGTGTTTATCTAGGTGGCTGGTAAGTTTTGGCGAGCCAGGCATAGGTACGGCCCTGCTCTTGAGAGGTTTACATCCAAACAGCCACTTGGTAAAAGGGACTAACTGCTCATGCTTAGTTTAACACAAGGTCAGGACACCCCAGACATTCTAGCAGTTGCCAGGGTTATTTTTGCACCTAGAAATGTTCCTCCTTTCCTGGTCATGGCATCAGCTGCCTTTAAACTCTTTTGTTGGTAAAAGGAAAAAGTTTGAGGTGATGACTCCACCTTGTTTCCATTAGAAAGTGTACTGCAGGGATCTACTGTCTCAACCATTTGGACCTTCTCTTTGGTTGTTCAGCAGTGCCATTTGGGTTGAGGCAAGTGCCTTCACTATGTGTAGTGATTTGGACCAACTGTAGGTCATTTGGGTGCACTAACTGGTGTGAGAAGTGATTCAGAGAGAGAAAAAATGTTCAGGCATTTGTTTTGTTTTTTTGGAGTACTCATTTGTTTTGGTTTGCCTTTGTTTCTTATACCTTTCTCTTCTTATAAACTTTATTTTGGGTAGGCAACATGTTTTAAGTACCTTCTAGAATTACATAAGTGATTTGGGGCTTTAAGCAGATGGGACCCTGGTTTACAATTAAAAAAAGGATTCTTTGTGAGCCTATGTATAGGCATTTATTGACACAAAGG